GAAATGTATTGTAGGGAAATAATGGGGTAACTTCACAAGGAATAATGAAAGGAAATTTTAATAGCAAATTTTTAATTACAGTAAAAATTGGAAACAACCTTAATGTCAAACAGGAGTTAAATGAATAGCAATTTATTTAAATAACTATGCAGATGTTTTAAAAGAATTCTGACAATGGAAAATGTCCGCAATATAATTTACATTGACCACTTGACAGTGCAATCAGTGCATCTCAAGTATGATCTAAACTAAAATATCCAAAAGGAGTGACGCGTATGGAAATGTTAATGATGCGTACACATATTATTTTCATTTTTTAATATTTAATTTATTTTCCAAATTTAATGCAGTAACTATATATCCCTAGGTGTGCATAGTAGCGCACATCTGTAATCCCAGTACCCTGGAGGCAGAAGCTATAAGACTGACTTGAGTTCTAGTTCAGCTTGGGATGCAAAGAGACAAACAAAAACATGTAATATTTTATGATTGAAAGTATGTCCCCCTATTTTTCATTGTTTACATTAACATGGTGGAAATACTTTCTGGTCTGGATAATGGTTTTCCAAGCCTTGGTACAGCCAGAATGCTGTGCTTAGAGAATGGCCGGGATACTATACCAAGCCCTGGTGCACGCTTACGGAGTGGCCGGGATGCTGTACATGCTTACGGAGTGGCCGGGATGCTGTGTTTTAGTGATGGTGTCTCTCCCTTTTGGACTCACCTGATGATGTGGGTTGTCATTCGCTTGTGGAGCAGTTGGCCGTCTTTGACGCAGGTATCGGGGGCGTTCTGTGGCTGTCGCTTCTACTGCTCCTGATGGCCTCACAGACGCTGGGGCTTTAGAGCTTTTATACTCAAGACAAAGCCTGTTAGGAAGTAGGGTTTTATAAGATATGGAGGCAAATTTAGTGATCAAGTATGATAATAAGGAAAACATTTTTTGGAAAATGTATTTTTAAGATATTTACTTTTGTGTGTGTGTGTGTGTCACGTGCACGCATGCATGCACACGCACACACATGTATGCCATTTGTGTATGCCCATAGAGCCCAGAAGAGGGCATTATATGTCTTGAAGCTCAAGTTACAGGCATTTGTGAGCCATCCTACAAAGGTACTTGGAACCAAACTGGGGCTTTTTGTAAAAATAAAAAGTGCTCTTAACCATTGAGTCTTTCCAGCCGCACGCCCCTTTTTTATTAAAATGTCAAATCAGATGTCAAGGTCAGTGTTCCTCATCAAGTAGCAATAATGTTCCACTTCTCCCCTGTGTTCTCTTCCAGACAGACTGTACAGTTGGGAGAGAGAGAGCTAAAATCGTAAATAGAAAATTCACGCTTCCTTCTTCATGCCGGTCTAGATACAAAAATACAAAGAAATTCAGCGATAGTGGCTCCTGGGTCATCTTGCCCAGCTCACAGACCAGGAATTCTAAGCATTCTGTGTGTCTGTTATGCTGTATCGGGAGAGCACAGATGACTCTAAGGCCAGGCATCCTTGATCTTACAGAGTTCTATTAAGCGTTCTTCAAAATTATTTTTGAAGCATTTTTACCATCCTGAGTTATTATATCTGAGCAAATGAAGAAAACATCGAGAGGGCGGAGAACTGCTGCTCCCAGAGAGCTCATATTTAACAAGCAGATCACTTCCAGTGGCTTTTGCTAGATAGTGGGAGCGAGTATAAGACGTGAGGAGAAGATATGGACGAGTGACTGGTCTGTGCTTAGCCGGTCTGTCAGAGGCGGGTATGCTGGGCAGAGAGAGCAGCGTGTTCCCATCTGGTATTATTTGAACACTTGCCTGCTCTAACAAAATATCATACACTATGTGTATTAAATAACAGATGTCCGTGCCACATGTTTCTTACATATCTAGAGGTTGGACGTCTGAGATCAGATGCAGGGAGTAGTTACTTCCTCGTCGCCTTGAAGTTTGTGTTCATAAAGCTCGTCTCACACACAGTGAGACACACAGTGTCTCCTGAAGAGACATCACAGCTTTCCAGGAGCCCTGAAGTACTCCAACACGACACTAGAGGGCTTTTGGTAGCAGTGAAACCCCTTAGTGGGAAAACCTGATCAAAAACAGGTGTGTGAAAGACGGTTGTGTTCAGTGTGAAAGCTGAACTGAGGAGGCAAACCCCACCTCCGGTGGAAGCGCATCTTGGAATGCACGCGCTGGCACCTTTGTGTCCGCCGCTCTGTACATATCTGTAAGTGCTGCAGCGGATCACGCGTCAGAATTTGCAAGCAGGTGAATGTGTAAGCAGCTTATCTGTGAATGATTAGGAATGGTGTGTCAGCTTTGCCGCAAAGACACTCCTGTTGGGGTCATCCCGTTCAGCTCTCCTGCACGCTTCTCTTGTTCAGGTCTTGTTTTCTGTGCCTGATGCCATAGCGTAATATTTGTTATGTGAGTCTCACACTTTGTTAAACTTGCTCATAGTTTCTTTGTAAAATAAACTGCGCTATAAATGAGAGTTTTATAGAATTTCTAGTTGGTTTTTGCTAATAGAGTGAAGAGCTCTCAATTTTATACAGCTATGTTTTATGTTCCACCATTATTCAAAGCCTTAATTATAGTGTTTTCTGCTAAGTCCCTCAGGGTTTCTTTGGAGAGCATGTCAGCTGCAGATGCAGCTTGTTTCATCTCCTCCTTTTCAGCATTTTCATTTTCTTTCTATTACTTATAAGAACTTCCCAAAATTTTTGATAATGGTGGTGATGTCTGGCACCTCACTTCCAATTATGTTCTCATAAATAAACATATTATCCTTGCTGATATGAACAGTCTGTGTAAAGTAAACCTATAGCAAAAGGGAGGGGCTCTTTACCGTGCAGATTGCTTGCTGAATTATTAAATAAATCCAGTATTGCCACTTAGCAATAACCATTACCTTAGAAGAAGGGCATTCCTAATTTGCCAGCTTCATAGATAGCAAGGATAACACTTGTGAAATCACAACGCTCTCATTCATTTTCTTCAGGCTGGTCACCAGTCGGAGCTTCTGAACTCACTGAGACCCAGGCCAAGTTGAAAATTACATAATGCTATCTTGAGGATTAACCATATCTATCATATCCAGAGTGGATTGTATATAATACAATAACTTTAAATAAACCCTAGTTTATCTCACCCCACAAATACTGTGCCGAGCGTCTGAAGGGCGGGGCTGAAGGTAAGAAAGAAATTCCCGAGGACAGGCTTCAGGGCCTCCGAACTGAGTCACCTGGTTTTCTTACACCTCCATTCCTAACATGCTCACGATTGCTTATGAATTATGATGCTCCTGAGAAAGATGAGCGCAGGCTACTAAAAATGCTGCCTTGTGGGGCTGGAGAAAAGTTCAGGGGGCCAAGTGCTTTCCTTGCGATCATGAGGCTCTTTGTCTGGATTACAGAACCTCTTTTAAATAGCCTGGCATGCTGGCATGCCCTTGTAATCCAAGCATGAGAAAGAGACTGATCCAGGGCTCCCTGGCCAGCCAGCACTTTACTTGGCAAGTTTCAGGCCAGCGAGAGATGCTGTTTCAAAAAGGGGGGGGCATGGGTCAATGGTTAAGACCAGGGTTCCTTAACCAACGAGAGCAGAGGCCCAGGGTCAAGCCTCAGCACCCATCTGGCAGCTCCCAAACATCTAACTCTAGTTCCAAGGCTCCAATGTCTTCTAGGTTGCATGGGCATCAGGCATGAACTTCGTGCACAGACGTGTATATGTAGACAAAACACCCATACAAATAAATAAATGTAGTTTTTTTTTTAGAAAGGAAAAGGGGGATCTTGCCTAGAGAATAACACTTTGAGGTTTTTCCTCTGCCCTCGACACTGACATGTGTGCATGCGCCTCAAAACACATGAGCGTCTGCACACACAAGAACACACACACATGTGAATTTTTATGTATATACACAAAATCGTAGCTTACATCAAGAATGGTGATACACACCTGTAATTTCAGCACTCAATAGGCAAAATAAAGTGGGTGGTTAGTTAAGAGGCTAGCCTGGGCTACACAGTGAGTTCAAGGCTGGCCTAGGGTACCTATCAAGCCAGGGTCTCAAAAAAGCAAAACAAGACATTAAAAGAAATAAAAATGCAACAATTATTTGGGGGATAATGACAGGGACACCTTTCCTATTTGATGCAGGTGCGTAAAAGAAAGAGGAATTTCATCTACAGCCCAAGTCTGGGTTCCCTCACAGCGAAGTGTGAATAGTGTTCACAGGACAGTTGTTCTAACAGAACCCTCCGAGCTTTAGTCTCAGGAGCAATTATCTCGACGGCCACTACGTGGCACTGTTGCCTCTCAGTTCCCCATAAACCAAAACGCTGTTTACAGAGGGGGAATGTATTTGAATCTCTGTCCTCTTCCCACCCCTTTCCCTCTGTAGAAACTTTTAGCATTAAATCTGCTGCAGGGCCTTATGGACGATCCGAGCGCCCAGAATAAGCAGCTCTTGAGTTCTCAGCCCTAAATGGGTCCTCTGTATCTCCTCCTCCGAGGTTCAGGGAATATCACAAAAGAGGAAGCAGAACGGAAAAGCAAGAGAACGGGATGGAGCGGGTAGAGCTGGTCTTCCAGACTCGACAGCCTGCCTCTTTGCACTCTTGTCCCACAGGAGCCTGCTGAGACAGGACCTGCCCAAGACCGGCGCCAACAGCATTTCTTCACAGGGGAAGAGGGGCTCGAGGCCCCAGGCCTCCCTGAAGGTTCAGTTGAAAGTTGCTGGGGTAGGGCGGTGGAGAGAAAGAAAGAAAAGGAAAGAAAGACATACATGAAAGGAAGAAGACAGAAGATAGAAGGTGGGCTCTGGAAGAGGAAGGGGTTCGCAGGAGTGGGAGGGAACATGGGAAGGTGAGGTGCTGAATATGAATGTATGAAGACGCTATTATAAGCCCATCATTCTGTGTGATTAATATATGCTAATCAAACTAAACTTGAAAGCGAGAAAATCTGTGGATATCTTATGTGCTGACTGTGGACCCAGGCCACACACCTAGCCGCATCCCCTGGAGACAGCTGGTCCAGCAGCCACTGTCTTCCCAAGGCTCTTGTCCTGTCGGGTCTCTGGGGCAGGTTGTTTCTGAGGCTCTGGAGGAGGAGCTTTGTGTTCTCCTTTGCTGACATCTGTGGAAGTGAAAACCATTAAAAGAGGCACTGAAGGGCAGCCGAGAGGACTCAGTGGGGACAGGCACTTGCTTCCAAGCCTGACCACCCAAGGTTGATGTTCAGAACCCATGGTGGAAAGGGAGAACTTGTCCTCCGCCTTCCGTATGTTGGCTGTTTGCACACATGCGTGCCCACACACAAATGTCATAAAATCAAGTCCATAAAAAACTTAAAGGGTTTCAGATCAATTTAAACATGGCCTTCATTCCTTAGTGTTAGCCCATGAGGAAAGTGTTGGTAATCAATTCTTCTGTTTTTGATGCTTTGGAAGAGATAATATCCCTTCCTCCTAGAGTTTCTTCATATCATTTAAGCATAAACCCACTAGTAGCATAAGCTTCAGTGATGGATGCCCCAAACTGCTTCAGTAAATAACTGCTTCTTAAAGAAACAGTACTCTAAAGCTGTGAGAAGGAGCAATACCGCACTGGGTTTATGATCGTTCACATTTGTGATGTGGAGTCCTTTAAGAACAAGGTGATGAGCTGTGTTTTTATTTCTAGGAACATCCCTCCCAGGTTTACTGCTGTAGGCAACTTCAGTAGATAGTGGATCACCCGAAACCCATCCATCCGTCCCACCCGAGGAACTTCAGGATAAAGAAACAAAGATGTTCAATTTGAAGGCGTCCAGCTTTTAAAAATTAAAGTGTGTTAACAAGACGACCACACGGTGTCACTGTAACACCATCAAGTTGCAGGCTTCCAGGGCTGGCGTGGAAGACCAGAGGGAATGAACCTGTGCTGGGTAAGTTTAGTAAAATTCAGGAGTCTGCTTTTCCTGGAGAGAGGACCGGAAGCAATCACCTGCAGCTTCACTGCGGTGGTGTTTGAGGCACTCCTTTGTGCAGATTCACCCGAAATGGGTAGTTAAAGAGACAACGATTCCCCACTCCCGTCACCTAACTCCCAGCCACCCCTAGGAACAGCACAATGCCTTTGCAGTTTATTTTTCTTTCATCTTAGAACTAAATGAACTAAATCATTGTTGGTTACTAACGATTGTCTTTAAAAGAGTCACAAGTCAAAAAGCTTTACTTTTTCAGTGAAAACCTAGACAACATTTTTTTTTCTTTTTATCCTGAAAGTTGGAGGGGGGGGGAGGGGATACTTAGGACTCAGGGAAAGTCATATCAAAATCTTTCCAAAAGTATACTACAACTGGAAGGCCTTGTCATATTGTTCTCACCAAATCAACACCCTTTTCTGTCATCGCAGTTTTCAATGCCTGTCCCTCTAGCTTTGACAGATGTTTCCTAATGCACATCTTGAGATCAGTGATCACATTCTAGCCTAGAAAGCCTGTTCTTGTCTCCAAAAATATCTATAAAAGCTTGCAATGTAAATAAGGCACATTTGTTTTTAAACTCTTGGCAGGTGTCAATCATAAAAGACAATGAAAGGCATTAAGACATCTTCGAACAGCATGTGTTACTATTCTATCATACGGGCTCAGGCACACTGAGAAATGTTAAAGGGGGAGCTTGCCTTTTTCCAGCTTCTTCACTGTTAATTAATGGAAGAAAAGGGTTTTTAATGGAATGTCTTGTAAGACTGGGGTAGTGAAAGTTTTACCACGCTGCCTTAGATGTTACCTGGACACGCTGCTCTATCACAGTGTGGGGCTTCTGGTGGGTTTTGTTGTGGAGACCAGATAAGAAACACTGCTGGCAGATGTCAAAGTTGAGACACTTCAGACAGCGGTATCTGCCAAACGAAATGCAGCTTATGTCACTATTGGCAGGAGAGCAAACGGATGGAATTCAAGCAGAGAATGAGCATCCCAACCACGCAGGAGGTGTCGGATAGTACAGTGGTTACAGTTTGTCTCTCGAAGCTGACAGTTATTAAATAACCCATGTGCTTACTTATTCAAAGAAACGTGAACCTTATCTTAATAGTACTCTGTGTGTGTGTGTGTGCGCGCGCGCACGCGTGCATGCATGTGTGCATGTATGTATTCATGGGCCATGGCAAATGTGTGGAGGTCAGAGGACAACTTTAGGAATTGATTCTTTTCCTCCATACCAGTTCTGGAGAATAAGCTCAAGTGGTTGGGCTTAGAGGCCAACACTTTAAGCCATCTCACCAGCCTTGATGGAGTTTTTTATAAGACAATTTGTTAATGTGTCTTTACCCAGTAAACTACAGTCTAAAGGTCTGAATTATGTTCCTTCTCCACACTACCCAAATATCAAGTGCCTTGCATAGGCAGCGTCTTAGGGGCTGCAACCTCAAGAGAAACCCTCAAGGCTCTGGCCATATTTTGCGGAGCTGCATGAGCACTCAAATATTTTGAGTGTAGTTTCCAATCTTTTTGTTTGTTTGTTTGTTTCTTGGTTTTTCGAGACAGGGTTTCTCTGTGGGTTTGGTGCCTGTCCTGGAACTAGCTCTGTAGACCAGGCTGGTCTCGAACTCACAGAGATCCGCCTGCCTCTGCCTCCCGAGTGCTGGGATTAAAGGCATGCGCCACCATCGCTCAGCTGTAGTTTCCAATCTTAAAAGAGAAGTTTGGCATTTTTGATAGAGTTGAATAAAGAATTCTCTTGGAAATTACAAAGTATGATAATCTTGAACCTGAGTTCCTGATGCTAGGGGAAAAAAAGTTAAATCTTAGATAAAAGATTTCGAAACAAGCCCATGCTTTTCCTTAAAAGTCTGTGCATAGGGAAGAAAAGATGGAGGGGGGGGGTCTTCAGTGGCCAGGAGCTGTGTGAGCAGCTCACCTGTTTCTTGACACATTAACATGGCAGAATTTTGTTCTTAATTTCTGAGTCTTAAATCTCCTTGTGTTCAGAAGAAGAGAAAGCACTGAGGCATGCTGGTAGTGAGACCTCTCCCAGTGCTCAGGGAGAGATCTCTCCTAACCCACAGATAGTGTGGTAATACTGAAGGGCTAGGAAGATGGGGCAGCCTCTGGTTAATAACGACACTGCCGTTCCTACCTGTAGCAGAGACAGCCGCTGCACTGGACAGTCAAGCTCAGGGTTTGGGAGGATCCGTGGCACATGGTAGGTCACCAGTGAATGTGAACTAAATGAAGCTAAGTTAAGAGTCTGCTTTCTGCAGCAGGACAAGGGCCCTAGTAAATACCACTTACTTGGCCTTGCAAAAGTTTTTGCATAGCTTTGAAAATTAATCAACTCATCTAAGTGTACAAGATGGAAAAGCCTTTTCTTTAATGCGGATTATTGGATGAGCTACCTATCTGAGCTGGAAGCTTTGTCCAGCCTTTAGACAGCTACAGTTAACTTGTCTGAACAATATGCTAACTTCCCTTAAGTTCCGAGACCACCTTTAGACTCACAAGAAAGGCTGCTGAGTGGGTAAGACAGCTGGTTTCCTGATCATTTTACCAAATAGAGAACCCAAGGTTTTTTTTTTTTTTCCAATCTTATCTCAGTCTTGTATAATTTAGTTTTTTATAGACCATAATTGATAGCCCATCTGGGACTCAGTTCTTGGAGTAGGGGTACTTTCTGCTCTATATGTCTCCCCACTCACTCCCCATGTGCATGCGTGTGCACTTCTGTGCATGGACACCAGAGGCGGATGTTAGATGTTTATTTGAGATCAGCTTTCTCTCTGAGTCTGGAGCTGACCGGTTCCTTTAGACTGGCTGGCCACCAGGCCCCAGGAGCCCCCCCCTGTTTCTATTTCTATTCCTGTTTCTTCCATTGATTCTGAGGAACACATTGTACATCGTAGGAAAATTTAGGTTTTACTATAATATAAACCTTTCCTTGGTCCTGCTTGCTTATTTTCCTGTTGACATGGTTTATTGTTTTAAGTTGATAATTGCAAAGAGGTTTATATGAGTCAGATTTTGTTGCACCTTCCAAATCCATTGCAAACTCAATTAAGCTTTTCAGTAAAATTTAAACTTGATTTCCAGATTTTTAGCGGTTCGGTAGACCTGCTTCATGCCTGTGGGAATGTGGTCAGTGTCTGAACCGTGGAGGATCAGGAGCTACAAGAGGAGAGGTAGGACAAAGCGAGCAAGCGTGAGCACAGAGGGCTCCAGCTTTCCTCCTCTCCCAGGACCCTGTACCTTGTTAGCTGCTGGACATCCTGGAGCTCATACAGGATGTCCTCATACAGCCGCATGCCTGTGCCCGTAGCTCATGACTCACGGCTTGCCCTGCTTGGTCAGACTTCTCATCTCCTCTTCAAAGCTCTGGCAGCATCTCTGAGTTTACTTCCTCGTTATTTAACTTATGGAAAACCTACACGCTAATCTTCTTTTTTTTTTTTCTTTTTTTGGTATGACAGGGTTTCTCTGTGTAACCTTTGTTGTGCTGGAACTCGCTTTGTAGACCCAGGCTGGCCTCGAACTCACAGAGATCCACTTGTGAGTGCTGGGATTAAAGGTGTGTGCCACCACAGTTTAACAAACTATTCTTGTAGGTAGCTCCACAGTCTTTAAAAGGCTTATTTGGAACAAAAGACAGTGTACTTTAGAGCAGTGGTTCTCAGTCTTCCTAATTCTTTGACCTTTCATACAATTCCTCATGCTGTGGTGACCCCCAATTATAAAATTATTTTGATGCTACTACATAACTGGAATTTTGCTACTTTTATGAATTGCAAGCAAATATCTGATATGCAGGATATCTGATATGCAGGATATCTGATTAGTGACCCCTGTGAAAGGGTTATTTGAGCTCCCCAAAAAGGGGTCACAATCTATAGGTTGAGAGCCACTGCCTCAGAGGAAGAAAACTTGGCTACTTAAGAGCATTGAGTCAGTGGAAGAACTTAATATTTCATTGTTTAGAGGAAATAAGTTTATTTTCAACCAGGATGCCTCAGATAGGGAATTAATTATTGAACTAAAGGCAAGTGAATCCCAGATGTATAGGAAGGATCCCAGAGGTTATCTATGTGGCTCCGTTGGACCCGTCTACCACACGACCATTTAGGAAATGCGATGCTGAGTGTACCTCAGTCCTACGATTGGGAAGGTTTTGCACGTGCTGCACCGCACGGGGTGAGTGAGCATTTCTGAGGCTGACAGTCGGTAGCAGGTTGGGAGCCACAGAAGTATAAGAGGCTCTGACTGTAGCCAAGACAAGAATTTCTCCTCCTTGATTCCAGAGCTCAACACCTGGGGAAGAAGAGCAGGCTGAGATGCACTTCCAGGCGGGATGTGCCCCCTTTCTTCCCACCCCCCTGCTTCCATATCTGTTCTGCTACGGAAATCAGTCATGTGAGAGCCGGAGGAAGGATACCTCCAAGCTCAGGCTGTCCTGGAGCATGCCTGAAGTCTAATTTAAGCAAACTCTTCAGACACCTGCACCAGTTCCCAGGGATATTTTACGTTACTCACCCCTCGGAAGCAGCTGTGGACAGCACGCTCCACAGGGCACAAAGCACAGCTCTCTCCCACAACAGCAGGAATCTGCAAAGGCAAGCTCATGTTAGCTACTGAGTGGACTCAGTGTGCCTGAGTAATGGAGGAGGTCACACAATCAGCAAATACCAGACATCTGGGAGCAGAGGCGTCATCTCAATCAAATCAGTAAGCTTTAGGTTTTGTGCAATGCTTGAGTTGGAACAATGAATAAAAAAAGACGGGAGGAAGACCACAGAAGGAAGGCACTGAGGTAGTGAGGGAAGATGTCTGCTGTCTGACGCCTTAGAATCCCAGGCAGATTATTTTAATCTTTCTTTTCTTTTTCCCCTGATGGAGGTCACAGTGATACTGCTTTCAGGTTCACGGTGGCTTTAAGAAATAGCTTGTCAAGAATTTTCACACTGTCTCGTTTGAATACATGTCAATTCCACTACTTCTTTTGATCCTATGTCAAAATATCTGACACAAAGAACTTCAAATAGGAGAGACTGAGGTTGGCTTGTACTTCGGTCCATGGCTTCTGGGCTGTGGTGAGGTAGAGCATCAATACAGAAGGCTGTGGCTGGGCAGACCTCACGGTGACTGGGGAGCGTAGGGATGAGAGGCCCATAGGAATAGATCTCTTTTTACGTGGTTTCTTTAGCTAGGCCTTAAGTAAGAAAGTTTCTACCAAATAATCCATACAAAACATATCTAAGCCATCAGTTAGTTCAGAGTCCTCAGGATCTACTCACTTCTCAGTGATTGAATCCACCAGTTGGGTACCAAGCTTTCAATTCAAGAGTCTTTTGGAGGATACTTCATATGCAAACCATAACTCCAGTCTTTGAAATGGGCTGGTACACATCTTTATTAAAGGAAGAACTGACAAGAAATGACGTCACTATGTCAAGAAGAGATATCTACAAATTCACTGCAGCCTTATTTAAGACAGCCAAGATAGAAGAATGACCGAGGTGTTTGTTGACATTAATGGATGTTATCTGGCACTTAAAAATGGCTATAGCATGGATGAACCTGGAAAATATATGCTACAAATGAAATCAGCTGTACACAGAAGTACTGTATAATCTCTTTTACATGGAGACTCTAAAGAGATGAGTATAAAGAAACAGAGAGTAGATGTGGCTTCTTGGAGTTGAGGGTGGAGTAGGTAAACCAGGAGATACGGCTCAAAGAGTATAAACTTACAATTTACGATGATTAGATTCTGGAGATCTAACACACAACACAGTGGCTTGTTAATGATGTTTCTTGCTCTCTTGACTTTGATTTGAGGGATCTTTATCTGTGCTCACACATAAATATTGACTGTGGGAATGATGCGTGTCCAAGCTACTTGACTGTGGTAATCCTTAAACACGTGCAGCCTTGTTACCTGTGATACACATGATGTAACATCTCTCCCCTTTCCTCTCCCTTCCTTCTCTCTCTCCATCACTCCCTCCTTCTCTTGTTTCCTTTCTTCTCTTTTTTCATTCCTTTCTTATTTTTTCTTTTGAAATAGGGTCTTGCAAGGGTGGTCTCAAATTCCTGAGTTCATATAATCCTATTACCTCATCTCCATAGCCGGAGCTATAGGCGTGTGTACACCATACCAACTTAACATCTTTTGTACATATAATTTTTGTTGTTTTTAAAGCTAAATAGATTAAATGATCACTGAGAGATGATTTTTGAGCAAGACAAAAAAAAAAAAACAAGTTTATTGCACTGTTGGGGTCTCTCTCTGGAAATCCTCCTTTTCCATTAAGGGGACAAAGCTCATTAGACTTTCTTTCTTATTTGCTTATTTATATTTTATAGATATTCTAACGACTCCATTGTCCCTGCATTATACCTTTCAACCACATTCATTGCGTGGGGTTTGGGGTTGGTAACTACAAGACTAAGGCGATGAATTTGGTTCTGGTTTCCGTATGCATAGATGTGTGTACCAGTCACCTTCACTTATTCGCATTTGGACAGGAGTCCCAGTTTCACATCTGATGCCTTGCCCAGCTCAGGCTGTCGGATACACTGCTGTAATTGCAAGGACCCCCTGCCGAGCCCATCAACTCAAATAAATGTCCTCCCAATCAGGAAAGTGGCACTTAAAACCTCTTTGCCGACAATTAGGCAGACAGAAGTCAACAAACATTCGCTACTGGTAACAAGATGGCGTGTGCTTTAAATTGATAATAACCCTGTCACAGACAGAGAGTAAGGAACCACTCCCAACGTTATTTAGTCAAACAACAACAACAACAACAACAACAACAACAACAACAGCCATTCATCTCCCATCTTTTGAATACGGATGAACTACCTGGGACACTTAGTAAGAGCATTGCTGATTTAACGTTCTTCCTTCTCTGGTGTTCCTACCCCTAATGAAGAAAGAGGTCGCAGTTCACATGGAGATACGCAGGAGAAAGCCCTGGGATCATCAGCTCTGTGACTCCAGCACCAGTAAAAACAAGTTCCTCACCATAGTGGGATGTGCCTGGTGCTTCCCCTTTAAATACCTTCAGAAAGTTTTTGTGAATTATTTGGCTAATTTCTTGCAGGTGTTCTTTCGAGAAGAATTAAATGTGACGAGGTGACAGGCTGCCATGGGCAGAATGGCACTCAAAACGACAATTAGCATTCCTAGGGGATGATCTGAATCACATAGTGAGGACTGGAGTTTTCTAAGGAAGGAATCCGTCTTAGATTTCATAATGGAAGTCAATGGGATGATAATTTACTATGCAAATTACAGCTCTCTGTCCCGGTAGTCTCTCAGAGCCTGCTAATGCTCACAGGAAGGACAGGCTATAGGAGCCAGCATTTATTCCAGCCCTCATTGACCTTGATTTAAAATCCCTGGAGACTGGAGTTAACTGGAAGCCATCAGCAGTAGTCAGGAGGTGAACACCAGGGCTCGAGAGGAGAGGGGAAATGCCACTCTGTCCAGGTCCTTCCTATCACATCCGCTTTGAAACTGGCTACTGTTATCAGTCTGATGGGTTAGGCCCCTGGCTTTCCACCTGCTTGCGTTCTGCGACACGAGTTGTCGTGGAGGAACATCTGCAGTGGCGGTTGCCCGAGACATTCCTCAGATGGCAGAAAGCCTGCAGTAGGATCCAGATGAGCCTTGAAGTATTTAATATTGTTATCTGGCATTTCTGAGTCAGGCTGTGTAGTCTAGAGTAAGAGCCAAGTACACAGCAACTGGAAGTGTATGGGGCAAAGCCGCACTACACCAGGACATCACAAAACCTGGCCCCTGCTCTCTGGATCAGTCTGTTTCTCTGTTGCTGTGATAAACACCATGTTCAAAAGTAACTTGGGAAGGAAACGGTTGTTTGACTTTCAGGTTTCCCCTCACTGTCCATCACTGAGGGAAGTCAGGGCAGAAACTCAAACACAGACAGAGGTGGGTACCATGGAGGGAAGCCACCTGCCGGGTGTTTTCCCATGGCTCAATCAGCCTGCTTTCCTGCATATCCCAGGTCCACCTGCCTAGGTGTGGCCTGAGCCTCTCATATCAATGATTTATTAAGAAAATGCCTTACAGACATGCCCACATGATGGAGACATTTCCTCAGTTAAGGTTTTCTTCTCCCCCAATGATTCTAGTTGTGTCAAGTTGATCAAAACCTAAGCCAGCACATTATTCCTTCGTGATGCTTTTGGCTGAAAAGAAACCTTTAGAGGTTCTCATTCACTGGCTGCCAGAAAGACCCGCTGTGTGGTTCCCTGCAGCAATGAGGAAAGAAGCCTTTAGAGGTTCTTATTCACTGGCTGCCAGAAAGAACCACTGTGTGGTTCCCAGCAGCAATGAGGAAAGAAGACACAGGCTTGGACGAAGAAGACCCTGCCCCGAGCGTGGACCTCCTGCCCATTGTCTTTCTGGACAGTCCCCCTCTCCTTCCATAAAACCATGCTAAGACCTCACAAGGTAGATTTGAGGCAGAGAATCTCCTCGGTGTTCCTTAGAGCTGGCTTTAAATAAACCTGTTTCCTCCAATAACTCCCCGTTCCTCTCATAAGATAAAGAGCAGTATGAACTTTAGATTCCGGTAACAAAAGAAAAAGAAAAACAAGCAAACAAAAAAACCACTTGGAAGCAATGAGGCCAGTCAAGATGTATGCATTAGCATAAGTGACCCCCCCCCCGTGTCCCTGATGCTGCCCCACATTTGAACATTCCGTACAGCAACAGAAAAGTCAACCCCGCTCTTGAAAAACCCAGACAAATCCTGCAAACTCCTGCTTTTATCCACCGTACCTTATGAATTATTTTCAATTTATTGAACTTATTCCAAAGACTTGGCCCTGTTCACATCTTGCCCTTGAAGTATGTACCATTGCTTTGTAATTAGAACTGTTCCTAATCCTTTGTCTCATAGCTGAATCCTGTCTCTGTGAGTGACAACATTTATGCCTCTCTATCACTCCCGAGACCCCCTAACCTTCACTGTCAGCAACACTTTAACCTTACTAAAAAATTTAAAATCTGCTGTCAACTCTGGTCAGACAAGCTGCTGTTTGCCATGGTCAGCAGTGACTGCAGAGACCGTAATTGGTCAGAGTGCAGAAAATAAATGGCTGTTGAGTACCCAGCCATAAATGGGACATTTTTATTACCTCCTCTTCAAGGTCTTGGGACCATCACAAAAGAATACAGAGCTGCAGGGACGGGAGAGCTGTGTGGAATGCTGATTTCTGGACATGGCAAGGCTGTTGCTCTCTCAAATTCAGAGCAGCTATGGTCACGGACACAAAACCTATACAACATTGGGTCTGTTAGTATCCTGTCCTGAGACCCCACTCCTCTCTGAGGATGTATATGCAGTTATTTAATGATTGGAAGAAGAAGGGGCATTTTCTTTAGTGGTGCCCACTCTCCTATAATCAAATTTATACCCATAAACCTGTGAACAACCGTAATGAAACCCACTGAATCACACCCAGAGAAAGACAGGAAAGTAGAAGAAAGCCGGTTTGGATGAGGGAGGGGATTGGTTGGAGCTGGAAAGGAACAAGAGAGGGAAATGTGTGTGTGTGTGTGTGTGTGTGTGTGTGTGTGAATATGCATGAATATATTATGTATATGCCATGATGAAACCCATTATTCTACATAATATTATGCTGATAAAAACACTAAAATATTTAAGTCATCACTTTACTTAGGAACTATGAACATCTTGGGATAAAAGGAGCTGAGAGGAGCAAGGGAATGCAAAAGAAACTGTCCCTCCTCACAAAGCTTCAGTTTGAGCAACTGTCTGTGCAGAAAGATGCCTTCCAAGAGCCAAGGAAAACAGGGAGAAAACAGGCACCTGGTTACAATATAGTAACAAACAGGAGCAGCTAGAGCTCGTGCTTGGTGGGTAAGGTGTTTGCTGTCTAAGTCTGAGCCCAGCATCCATGTCAAAAGCTAGCTGTGGCCTCATCGGTGCCTACAATCTCAGTACTATGAAAGCAGAGACAGGAGGATTGCTTGGGTTTTCTGACCAGATCCAGGGTCAGTGATAGAGCCTATCTCAAGGGAATAAGGTAGAAAGTGACAGGATTGGGCACTTGACGTCTCCCTCAGTCCTCTGTCTGCATGCGCTCATGGGCACACCCGTGTGCATACACCAGGAATCATTGAAGAAGGCAAGGATGGCCACTTTGCACCATCAGTGGCACCCCTGCAATAGCCTAAGGTAGAACATTATCTACAGAACATTTGGTTGGGGTAAGAGAAGGAGGTAGGTAGAACAATTTGTATTAAATTCAGCAGTAGACAGCTTCAGAGCACCTGGCGCTAGACCAGTGCCGGTGGGCTCGGTCTTCAGATCCACGCTGCTGTGGGTGAGAGCCCATAGCCCCTGTGAGATGGACTCAGAGTCGATCCTGTATTGTTTCTGGCTGATGGCAGTAATCTTGTTCTCTGAATAACTGGCTCTCAGTGGTAGGCAGACCTTAGAAGACAAGGCTTGGCTTTCAGTTTTCATTCGTGCTGGCTGCAATGATCCTGGGCTTAGGACATCTCCCAGCCATGCAATGACTACAGGGTTCATGGGCTTAAGGACCACAATAGCGAGTCTGTCTAGATATTCTAGACAGGTTACTGTTACAGGACATAACCAGACTTCAGATCCTGGAATAGCTGCTATTAAACGAGTGCTTTAAACGAGAATGGTCTCCATATGCTGATTTCTGAATATTTGGTCTCTAGTTTGTGGAACAGTTTAGGAAGAATTCGGAGGCATGGTCTTGTTAGAGGAAGTGTGTCAATGAGGGGTGATGGGATTTGGGGTTTCAAAAGCCCATAACATTCCCAGTTAGCTCTCTGTCTCTAAGTCGTGTTTTTGGATCAGATTTAATCTGGCCTAGATTTTGGTGCAAATAATAACCCGTCTCTCCCCTACCACACAATCAAATATGTCCTTAGGTGTCTCATTGTTGTCTCCTTTCCCCCTCACAACTGTAGCCCTATTTTCCTGGATCTCTTAGGGGACCCTGATAACTACACTTCAGTCAGCCTACTCAACACCCCTCCCATATTAAAGCGGAATATCTCCTGTTTGCCTGTGTTATTCTCCCATCTCTCCCCGTCAAAGAAGGAGGCATACTAGGCCTAGTCTTCTCAGTTCTCATCCTAACTCTCCTCCATCCCTTCACACCTCAAAACAATGTCGTCTTATATTTTGTCCAATGACCCAATCCCTATACTGAGTCCCACGGATTTCTGGGCAACCCTGTAGAATCCTTCTTACTATTTGTCAACCTCCATCACTTATGTCTTCATTATCCCAATTTTTGTTCTGATTTCTGGTCTAATATGAAAATGAACCTAATATCCCAATTGTATGCTAATTACTTTAGTCTTATAAGCCAAAAATGAAGAACTAGCAGCTTCTTAGGATATCAGGAAAGAAGGTAACCCCTCCGCTGTCAACACCCAAATCTGATATTCTCCGTAAACGACTCCTTGCTTAGTGATTCTCAAGCTCCTGCCTCAGCACCCTGCCTGCCTACCTACCGCCACAATCTCCACCATGATGGCCATGGAGTCCACCCCCCTGGGACCACGAACCCTCAAGTTAAATGCTTTCTTTATAAGTTGGCTTGGCCATGGTGTTTGGCTATAGCAACAAAAAAAGGAAACCAAGAGTTACCTACTTCTTCAAAATGAAGACATCAAAACTTGATCTTAAAGATCAAGAATAATCAGAGAAACAGTGTCTGGAAGCAGACAGTGACCAGTTCAAATGTGACAGACAGATGGAAGGTTTGCAAAATACTAAATGCCATTTCAAGAAAGCTCATCAAACCACAGTAAAATGAATATAAACAATTCAGAAACATCAGAAAAGCTAAGAGAAATAAAAGACAAATGGAAGAACAAGAGCAGAAAAGTTCAAGGAACAAGACAGAGACCACAACAAGGCAGCAGAACTGGACAAGCAGAGAGATGAATGTGTAGACTCCAGACAGGGGTTCGGAAGCACAGTGTCCCAGAAGAAGGAAGAGAAAGAATGGAATGAGAAAGGCCTACAGGATTCATGGAGCAGTATCAAAAGAGCAAAGACACAGCTTTCATTTAAGATGGGGTAGGACGACACCAAGCTATAGGAATCCTACGCAAAGAAATTCATCAGGCTGCTTTGCCAAGAAAGCATGAGGAATTGAGTTCAGATCTCCAGAACCTACACTTTTGCCTTTTATTAACTAAAGTGCTTTATTTATTCAACAAAACAAGTAGTCTTAAGTGAGTCTTTAGTAGACTCGCACATTCCCACATAAATAGCATCCCATTGCAATATGAGTAAAATAAAGGCTACAGACAGTTGGGTGTGTATCTGAAAAGCACGGAAAACCTTATGTGTTTGCTCATGGACAGGAGGTAAGGGTGGAACAAACTAGAGACCCATGGCTGTGTCCTCTGCCTGCGCAGCCCTGGAGAGCCGGCCAACAGGGATTCTACTTACATCACTGGGACGCTCTCCTCACACCTCTCTCTTTCCTCGGTGCTGAGGGTGGAATCCGAAGTCCACTGCGCAGCATCCAGCCTCCTAAGCTCCTCGGGTTTTTATAGCCCTTCTCTCTGAGCACTCCCGTTCTTAAAAGCTAGGTGTAGGGTGCACATATAACACCAGTACGAAAAAGCAAAATCACCTGTCTCCCTGTACAATGTCCAGTTTTGTACCCTTCTAAAAACTCATTTTAATTTGTTTTTGTTTTGTTTGTTTGTTTGTTTTGTTTTTCGAGACAGGGTTTCTCTGTAGCTTTGTAGCCTGTCCTGGCACTAGGTCTTGTAGACCAGGCTGGCCTCAAACTCACAGAGATCCGCCTGCCTCTGCCTCCCTAGTGCTGGGATTAAAGGTGTGTGCCACCACCGCCCTGCTTCATTTTAATGTTTTTTAAACCTTTGATTTTTTTTCCTTTTAGTTGACCTTTTCTAACTAATGAGTAGCAGGTATTTTATAAGAGAGTCAGAAATTTGTTGTTTTTAAAGAGAAGGGTTAAGTCAAACTACAAAAGCTTTGTTCCGCTGCTACAGAGTATAGGCTTCATGCTGTAAATCGGAACCGACTATGAAGAACTTTGGGAATGAGAGCGTGTTACGGTTGGATCTTAAGTGTCCTCCATAGAGCATGTATTAAAGGCATAGTCGCAGCTTAGAGACACAGGAAATAGAACTGCTAAGAGGTGGGACCTCATTAGGGAGAAGCCTTGAAGGGTATTAAGGGATTCTAGTCTCTTCTTCCCTCTTGCCTAACATAAGAGGAGCAGGTTCTTCTCACCCATGTTCCCATCACCACGTTTCCATTTCTCACAGCCCAAAAGCAACAGGGCCAGCCGACCATAGGCTGTGAGCCGAGATAAAATGTCTGCTTCTTAAGTTGGCCATTTGAGGAATTCTGTAACGAAAAGGTGGCTCACGCAGGAAAGCTCACGGGTCCAGTGCAGAGGAAGACACGGGCATGGGTCAGGCTTGCTACAGAAAGAGGAACTGGCACTGTGAAAATACTGACAGCCACAGCAGGTTGTTATGACCGACACCAATTGGGAACTCCTAAGGACTGGGACTTACCCGCTGTAGATCTGTTAGGAAGGCTCTCAAAGCCCTCCGAGTCATGCGGGCTCGGGAGTCGCCGCCTCTCCTGTTGTTTTCTGCATAGAGCTGAAAAAAAGCTAGACACATAAAAAGCGAAAAAGCCTTCAGTCCATCCCTGTGTTTGTGAAGAGTATATGATTTTGGGCAAGCTTCTTTGTGAATATAAAAGATACTTGGAGTCATGTTCTTGCTGTTTGTTTGTTCCCGTGAAGGCCTTAAAGGGCGATCCGTCAGTAACTAAGACCCCAAACCTCCACCCCCACCCCGGTGATAACAGACCTCTGTGCTGGAGGCTGGTTAACAGTCAGGTGAGGATCCCAGTTAATTGGTGGTTTCTGGATAATCTCTAAAATCATAAATGTCAAGGCAGCCAAGCAATGCAAAACTGAAAAGCGTGGATTTTAAAAGAAAATCCCGAAATCCTCATAAATGTAAGCATCTCTTTTAAATATTAACAAGACAAGAACTATAGAGCTGGCCCAGCGAAGAGCACTAGCTGCCCTTTCAGAGGTCCTGGGTTTGGTTCCCAGTCTCCACAAGGAGACTCAGAACCATTTGTAACTCCAGTTCCAGGGAAATTGACCTCCCTTTGTTGGTCTCTGCAGATGCTGCACTTACATGATATACAGGCATGAATGCAGCCAAAAACACCCATAAAATAAAGCTAAAATGTCAAAAAAAAAAAAAACCAAAATGAAAACAAACCCAGCCAGCCAAGGTGAGCGCATACCGCAGAGCAAGCCATGGTGACAGGGATTCAGACATCAGCAGAGAGGATGACACACTGGGCTGGGGAGTCACCACACTTCAGAACACACTTAGCTTTGACACGTTACCTCTGTACTTTGTGAGAGGACTGTCCCCTGAGAGGGCAACCAGTGCCGCAGCCACAGGCTGAATTCTGAGACTACCTGATCCCGTGCTGTGGGGCCACAAATCACAGACAAGTGTGGGAAGGCAGCGTTATTTAGGTGAAGTGATTAGGGAGTTTCTCACGGACTGTCCCTGTGAAGGCCTTCTGGTCCAGGCCTCCAAGGGATGCTTCATGTGTGCTCCCATGCTGCTCTTTTCTCATGGTCTCTTCACATATTTAGAACTTGGCACAGCAGGGCATTGAGTGAACATGGTTTTCTGATTCATCAGTTTATCCACGAAGTCACTGAGTAAATATTTACTGGATGCTTTTCTGTGATATCACTGTGCCAAGGACTGGGTGTGCAGATGTGGAGTGGGCAGTTGAACTCCCTTAGGATTCATCTGCCTGCCTTCCACACAGCAAAGATAAGGATAAAAATAAACAATATAGTCGGCTGGGGTGGCCTTTAACCCCAGCACTCGGGAGGCACAGGCAGGATCTCTGTGAGTTCGAGGACAGCCTGGTCTACAGAGTGAGTTCTAGGACTGCCAGAGCTGCTACACAGAGGAACCTTGTCTAGACGAACAAATTAAAAGTATGTGTCCCCTCCAAAACCACTTGTGGGCTCTGGCCTGGCCCCTGACTGTGGACTGCACACTAGCTGTGGTGCTTTACCCTGCACTTAGGAGTTATCAAAGGCAGGAGGCGTTACAGACAAGCACACAACTGAAAGTCCACTCAAAGGCTTAACGTTTAAAGAGACTGAAATCACGACAGCATGAGGAGATTCGTCTGTTACTTGTGAAGTTAGGAAAAAGTTGCAAATTAAGAAAGAAACAATTATAAGGAATTTGCCCGTGTGAGGCAAGCTCATGTCAGCATCGTTCATTGTCTCCTCCCCTTTCTCCTACTCTTCCTCAGACCAACAGAGAAAGGGCAGAGGAAAGTCCCCAGCTTAGCAAAGCACACACTAAACACACGCACATGTGCCCACACACTAAACACACACCATGTGTCCACACACTAAACACACACATGCATCCACACAATAAACACATGCACATGCACCCACACACTAAACACACACACATGCGCCCACACACTAAACACACGCCATGTGTCCACACACTAAACACACACATGCATCCACACGATAAACACATGCACATGCGCCCACACACTAAACACACACACACATGTGCCCCCACATTAATACACGCACATGCACCCATACACTAAACACACTCACATGTGCCCACACACTAAACACACGCACATGCCCCCACACACTAAACACACACATGCACCCACACACTAAACACACGCACATGTGCCCGCACACTAAATACATGCTTATGCACCCACATGCTAAACACACACATGTGTGCCCACACACTAAACACACACACATGTGTCCACACACTAAACACATGCACAAGTGCCTACACAGCTTCACAAGCCACCATCTCCAGAGTGGGCCTTGCCCTCTGGTATGAGGTAATCTGTTATTTTTCTCTGCATGGAATATCCAAATCTATCCCAGCTAAAAACCCAAAGTCAAAACTTGGAAGAAAATAAAACAAGAAAGAAAAAGAAAGAAACAAACAAGAATTATGCCATCTGGCAGGGAAGAACAAAGTGTAGTATATACACACCTAGCCAGCCACCCTTCCAAAAGGTGGGGAATCTGTTCTGGCAAGGGAATGGCTTTGTAGAAAAGAAAGCGATTTCCTGCTTCTAGCTATGTATGCGCCATTTGTATGACTGACACTTAGGAGACTTCTCTATTTCCTTATTGAGTAACGAGTCAGTAGGTGGCAAATAATCAGCAAGTAAAGACAACGTCTTACACACCTGATCTCAAGTGGACACTAGACAGCCCCAAATGGCCGGTGGCCAGAGGCCTTGTTGCTGCGGCCATGGGCAATCCCCAGCCCTCACCTGTCATACATGGCCATGAGAAGACTCAGAGTGAGGTCGGGAGCTCGTGGATGCACTTGTGCTGGTTTGCCCATCCCAGTTCTCTGAAACAGCTCCTGGAGCTCCCCAAAAAGCTGCTGCACAGAAAGAGAGGTCTCCATGCTCTCCCCAAGCTGTCCACACGATAGAACTTGCTGAATCAAAGAGCTGTCCATCAAGTCCACTGTAGGAAATAAATGAAAAGATGGACCTTATTTTTCTGATGAGGGCAATCGGCTTCAAACACAGCAAATATTTTCTGGTGTTTAAGTGAGATCAGTTTTTTGTTTCTCTTTTGATTTTGTTTTTGTTTTCAACAGTGGTCATATTTTTTAAAAGGAATTAAATGTGCCCATCAGGGACACAGATCTTCTGATCCATTCTGCTATGACTATTTTGGCAAACGACTTGATTTTGGAAAATTGTGTGTCATTAAGGTGTGGAAACATTATTGCTAGGACGGTTGCTGGGGTGTTGTCTTACAGACAAACGTTAAAAAGAGCCAGAAACTTGATGAATGCACATCCTAAAGAAGTTGAAACCCTGTGGCGATGAAGTGGGAGGATATTTTTGCACTGTGCCCTGAACACAGCTTTCCCATCCACTGTCCAGCTTCAGAGGAATACAGTGTATTGGAATGTTGTATACACAGTCACCATAGTAAAAAGGCAAACCCCAACAACACCCCAAAAACAGTGGCCTAATTACCCAACTCTGTAGGTCTCACTCACATTCGGCAATATCACGTTTTAAAAATCTTGGTTCCAACAATATTATTTTCTCGAAACAGCACTTCACAACACCAGGGCTACTCACAAAAGCGGTGGCTTATTTTTCACAGGCACAAATCTATATCACCGTCATCATGTAGAAAGTTTACAAAGCAAGGAATAGAGAGAAGAATGAAATCGAGCAAGCCCTAAAGTTTCTTGCCAACAGAGGGTGACAGACAGAATTAATAAACACTCCCTGTACCACCTAAAAGGCAGGGATGTCAGGAGCCACCAGAGCTGCTGGCGTTTAAAATGCTTCAGTCTGTGAAGTGATGAAAGTCTATTTCTAACTGCTTTGTAAATCATCCTCACAGATAAGCATAAGAAAACTCTTTATTTGTTTTCTGATATTGCTTTGAAGGGTAGAGTCTAAGGCATAGGGGAACAGCCTTCAGGAACAGGGTTTAAATAAAACCTGGCCACAGGCAGTGATCTGTAAACTTGTCATTGATCACAAGCCCCTGTTGCCTGGGCCAGACAGTTGGATTGCAGGGGTCTCCTGTCTTCTGTGAGAGTTCTATATTATAACTATGCAGATAAAGGTACTATCCATTAATCTCATAAGATTCACGTAGTGATAATCTCTGGATCCTGCTACCTGGAGCTCATGTGATGCTTTATCTTGGTGTTTGGGATTGTTTTGTTTTGTTTTCCTGGATCTTTGCCAACCTTTTCTATTGCTGTCAGTGAAGCAACATAGCAACATATGGGTGGATTGCTCACAACAGACTCTCCTGACCCCACTTTTTGTATGTTACCAACAATTCAGACACACAGGTCCAATCTTCCTGATGTAGGCAGTTACATAAATGGGACAAGGTTTGCTTTTTTTCCCCCGTAAATTGAACATCACACAGCATCAAGATCAGATTGTCTCAAGTGTTGCCAAGAACTTGTACTTACATTGGCAAAGAGTTTGCATGGATCGTAATTTGAAGGCTGTTCTATAGACAGAATTCTCAATCCCATTAAGAGCACCTGCAAAGAAAACATGAAGTATGGTGGATAATGTTTATCTCATTGAACATATCCCACATCTTGGGTGGAAATCCGAGGGTTCCCAGAGTCTTATTTTGTATGTGAGACAATTAAGACAGATAGCATGTTATTCTACCTGTAAATGTTAATAAAAGACACGGGACAGTTTCACAGCTCTTTGCCTCACTGCCCCATGACAGATTTCTTGTCTGATAAGACTGGTGGTCATTCTTCACAGCTAACAAAATTTATAATGGCAGAGATTCTCCTCATCCGTTCATTCTGGTAATGCAGTTCAATAAAGCTTTATATGATCTTAAACATGACTTGTTTATTTTAGCCAGCCAAAATTGCCTGCTAAAACTGGCCATTGATGGTACAAAGTTGTGGTCCTCAGAGTTTCTGGCCCAGCCACATCTGCATCACCTGGGGCTTGTTACAAATGCCATCCTAACATAGCTGTAGCATGTTGTCAACACACTGCAGGGGGAGGCACATTAATGTTCAATTGGACAAGACCTTGAAGTAGATGCGATATAGGCTAAAGTTTGAAAACTTCCTGTATGGTTTAGGAGTTCCTTCTGTTTATGTGTTGCTTTCATTGGTTAATGAATAAAGAAACTGCCTTGGCCTAGTTGATAGTGCAGAACTTGGGTAGCCAGGGAAGACAGAACTGAATGCTGGGAGGAGGAAAGGCGGAGTAGGAGAGAGGAAGAAATCCGAGGGAGAGACGCCATGGATCCGTGGGAAACAGATGCTTGGAATTTTACTCGGTAAGCCACTGCTATGTGGCAATACACAGATTAATAGAAATGGGTTAAATTAAGATGTAAGAATTAGCCAATAAGAGGTTAGCTTATGGGCCAAGCAGTGTTTTAATGAATACCATTTCTGTGTGGTTATTTCGGGGTTAAGCTAGCCAGGAGGCAGGGATAAACAAGTGGCCTGGCGCCCCCTGTAACACTTATAAAAAAAGAATTTATTGACAATAAAACAGTTGTCTAAGGTCCAGGGAACTTGAAATTATCTATAGACAATAAGCTCATCTAAAGATCTTAGTATCAGCCACCATGTCTTCCTTTAAAATATATGAATATATGTATAGATTAAAGTTTACAAATAGTTTACAAACAGGAAATAAAATTCCATCTATTATTCTGTGCCAAATCCAGTCAGTAGATACTGGTTTAGTTGAAGACTTTATTGACAAGGTCTGTCAAGGAGACTGATTTTACTTTGTTTGTAACAGTGTAGAAAGTTAAATGGTTGGTCTTGTTAAGTTGGGAGCGTAGCCCCCAGCCCCTGGTCTGGGAGTTGCATTGCTCTGGACTCCAAACCCAGCATGCCAGGGAGGGGTCAGGACCCCTCCCACAGGGTATTTAAGTGTCCTCCTAGAGGAGAAACACGTGGTTTTCGGGTCTGCATGAGCTCCCTGCTGTCCTGTCTCCCTACCATGTGCTCAGCCACCCGAGAGCGTCATCCTTAATAAAACAATGGGCATTTTGATTTGGCTTGATTTGACCTAATTGGATTTTTTTTCCATCGGCACAGCTGTCTTATTCTTATCAGTTCTAATTTCTTGTATTTTATTTATTTATTTATTTCAGATGAGTGGTATATTTTAGTAGGGATATAGAATATTATTGGTGCTTCCTCCTATTTTCAGCAAGGATGTTAAGATATTGTTTAACACATTACCAAATTATTCGTAATGTATTTTATCAAGTTAAATCATTGAAATCTTTTATATTTGTGGTACATCTCAGTTTACAGTAGTATGTCAAGTCTTCAGAAGTCACGTGTGGTTAGAGACCTTGTACTGACAGCTCAGCTTTAGAGAATGTTTGGGAGAGAAGCTATATGGGTAATGATCAGTTCCCCAATTGCTGGTTCTGCACCCTGCATCAGGACTGTTAGCTGAGTGGAGCAGGAGAGTCAGCTATCATTGGTGCTCCAGGTCAATAACATCATGTGCATCACTTAGGTTGCCCGAGCAGAGTGTAGTTAGTGAACAGAAGGCAGGGTTACATAGCAACTTTGAGAGTGAGAAGCAGAATCGGTTAACTAATGAGGAAGAAGAGAAATCCAAGAGGAAACATAACAATGAAAGCCAACGTTAGTGGAGAAATTAACAGCTGAAGGTCAAAGAAGGCTAACTTCAGAAAGCAGAGGCAAGCTATCGGCTTGATATCCACACACCACAAGGACATCAGCTATGAGCTAAGTATCATCTGTTTGTGAGTTTAACTTGGTCCTTGGAGAGTAGTCTCAGGAGAGCCGTGATGGTAGACCTCAGCATGCAAAAAACTGAGTGGAGAGGAAAAATTGAGAATAAACCCCAAAGCAGATGGCTTTTAGATGACCTTTTCAAGACCTATAATCCAAAGGGAAGATGAGAAAGCCAGAATATACACCATATAACATGAAGACTGAATTGCAGAGGCAGGAGAGATTCTAGGATATAAATGTGGGCCAGGGAGGAGGAGCCAGTAAAAAGAGAGACTGGTTGTATGCGCGAAGAAATGAAGGGTCTAGAAAGGATTTGTCATAGCCAAATCCCTTTGTGGAAGCACAAACCCGTGTAACATACCTTCATATTTTTCTACTAAACTCTTACCTCTAGTAGAAGTTCCTGAAACCCTACATGTATTACTGCAACTGTCCTCTGTCCATTGGGAAATGAAGCCCAAATCCACACATATAAGGTGAATACATACCCAATGTGGGTACACAAGTTACCTCCTGAATCTTGGTTCATTGACTCCATGTTCAATGTCTCAAGTCAACAGACTGAGGTTTTCCTCCTGGACTGCAACTTGGAAATGTGGATACGAGCAACAATTACTCCCCTTGTTAGGGTTTGCACCCTGGAAATGAAATCAACACCCAAGAAAAGAGCAGAGAAGTTCTGGGTACACTGCTTGCTGGTGATGACTTCTGAGCACAGCACAGGCTATTGTCATGAGCCATTTCCCCCCTAAAAGTCATTACAGGAACTATCACCCTGGGGAGTCTGCAGAGAACCCCACACCCATAATTATGTTCTATTGACAGAACCTGCCNTTAGCCTCATTCTTCTGTCCTAGCTCTTCCAGGTAGTGCTCCTCCGAGACCCTGGAATAACTGATTGCAGGGTGGGTTACAAACCCCTAGACTAAGTAACCCACCCAATGCAATCGACAGGCTATTCTTTACTTTCAATTTATCATCAATTAACACACACTATCACATAGATTTATAATGTATAACTGTTCTCTCAGTGTAGGAGAGGAAACAAGGCTATGTCTAGGCAAGCCACTCTACCACTGGCGTACATCCCCAGACCTACTTTGTGGAATAAGTTGTTTTAAAATATGTAAAACTGTGGGTCAGTTACACAGTTCTAACCAGTAAAATGCTTTGTCTCACACAATTATACCTTGTTGGTGGTTAGAAGAGTTAAGATACCCACTTAAAAATTGTCAAGAATGCAATGTATTTTAATCACATTGTCATCTCACTATAAAACAGTTCTCTCCATGGAGTCACCAATGACACAAAGTAAGGCCTCTTTGAACAAAACTTTCTGTTGTAGTGGATACAGCTACCATTGATGGAGAGAGGTTGGAGAGGAGCGGGGATCAGCTTTGCTGAGTATCCCATCCTCCGTTCCTCAAGAGGAAGACTAAAATAGAAAGTTACAATGATGGTGGTACCTGTTCTTGTCTGAGAGCTACTGTTTTCTTCATGAATGGGGAGGAGTTCAATGGTAGGGTGTGCTACCTTTTTTCTCTCAACTTGGCACAAACAAAAGTCATCTGGAAAGAGAAAACCTCAACTGATAAAAACGGAGTCAAGTCTGTAGGGCATTGTCTTGACTAAGGACGGAGTGTCAAGGCTCATCCTTCTAGGAATCTTCCCTCTGGGAAGGTGTTCCTGGGTTGTACACAAAGGCGAGCTGAGCAAACAGGGTGCCCCTTAAGCCTGTAAGAGCTTTCCTCCAGAGCTTCTGCTACAGCCCTTGCCCTGAAGTTCCATCATTAGTGACTTTAAGCTGTAACATGAAATAAACCCTTTCCTTTTGCAAGTTGCTTTTGATCATGGTGTTTATCACAACAATAGAAAGCAAGCTAAGACCAAGATGATAAATTTTCTGAATCCCCATTTATAGGAAATCTGCTGCCGCCAATGTAATAAGCCAATCAAACCAAATTATTAAATCCATGTTGAATGAACAGAGCAAAGCAACTCCCGGGTGACCTTTGGGAGGGAGGGCAGGAGAGGAATCATGTGGTCAATATGGCTACCAGGTCTTAAGTAGCCTATAAGTATTATCTTGAGCAGCCCCAAGGAGGGGCCAACTTTTGGCGGGCTTTCTTGGGACAGAGTTTTGAAAAGGGCAGCTCCAGGGGACTTGTCCCTGCTTGGTGCATTGAGGGTGGGGTTTGGAACGGGAGGAGTTAGACCTGACTCTGGAATGGGGCCCCAAGCTGGAGATCCCAAACATTGGGTGTGAAAATTTCAGGAATAATGAAGTTATTAATTAGAATTATCAGCAAGAGAGGAAACAAATTGTAAAATTTGGGAAGAGCTGTGCTTGTTGTTTGTATTTTGAGCAACTTGCACATCGAGTGTTTTCTGTGATGGCAAATTCCAGCTAAATACTTTATAACCATAATGTTCCTTCTGGATCAAAAGTTTTGCATACAGCTAAGCTCTGAGATCAAGACGGACATACTATTTATTTAAGGAGGAGATGGACTTGAAAATACAACTAACATCAAAGATGTAAGACACTGAGACTAAGTGGGTTACCGTGCAGGGGGATATTTTGTGGTTAGAAACACAGCCGGCCCTTCAGTCTTTGCTAAGTGAACCCCCAAAAGGAATGAAGTAAGAGCAGTTCAATGGATTTCACTGACTCAGGCACACGTAGCGGGGGAGTTATAGCAACATTCTTTGTTCTGTCTGTTGTTCAGGCAGCAATTGTAGAATCTAAAGTGTGAAATGGTAGCGTTTTCTCAGTCTTCCTGTGTGTGTTTCAAAGACCAAGCTCTACTAATTCTTTAGGAGAGAGTTAATACCTCTTTGAATTTAAGAAGTTCATTAAATCCACTCTACTGAGGCCCTAGTGCAACAGAATTTAACAAGCTTGCTTCCTGGTGAGTGCAAAGCCAAAGTTAGCACTGCCAAGAAAGAAAAGAAGAGAGAAAGATTTATTGCTGGCAGCAGGTAAAGATCATGGGAATTATTTTCAAATAATGTTTTCCTTGAATAAAGAAAGCACAGACTTTTATTTGGGAAGGGCAGAATATCTATATTCATATCTATATCTGTATCTATCTCTATGCAGTTGAAGGACAGCCACAGCTTTGAACATGTCAAAAGGTACAATACTAACACGTTTGCTTTAAAGCCACCAGTCTAGAAGCCAAGATGGCAGGGACATTTGGGGGCATGCTTAGCCCAAGACATTAAGCATTCTTGAAAGGTCAAAAATATAGACCCTTCTGGGCGTGCTTATCTTGTGTAATAAAGTTGGCAGTCAGTACTCCCTCTATTTCACCATAAAATTTCATTTCATGATCCAGAAGGTCCTGTGGAAAGTTTGAGGGAAGAGTGTTATCAATAGCCTCACTCCGCTCAAACCCTGTTTGCAGCAGTTGTGCCTGGCCTGGCAGTATCAGCCCCTGAAGCCATGGCAGCACATCTGTGTGCCTGGTAGGACAGTATCAGCCCCTGAAGCCATGGCGGCACATCTGTGTGCCTGGTAGGACAGTATCAGCCCCTGAAGCCATGGCGGCACAACTGTGTGCCTGGCTGGACAGTATCAGCCACTGAATCCATGGTAGCACAACTGTTAAGGGTAGCAATTGTTTTCTGATAAAATGCCTGTTTTTTCCTCCACAGGAGGAAATTCATATTTGCTATTGTGAATTCAGCTGAAACCCCCATGATTGGGAGGTTCAGCAAGGCAATGCTGAGCCAAACCATCCACTTTTGCAAAAGTTAGAGCACCACAAGTCCCACCCTGAATTTAGCAGCTGGCCAACTACATCTGAAGCTCCCACATCTTCAGGTTCAATAGGCGATGGATCAAAATAGTCATAAAACTGCACCTATACAGAACACAGACTTTTTCTTTAATCCACAAATAATACAGAATAAGTACTATTTCCATGGAATTTATACTTTATTAGGTATTATAAATAATGCAAGGGTGATTTTCAGTATGGGTCAGATATACACAGGTATGTGCAAGTACCATGACATTTTACGTGAGGAATTCAATCATTTGCAGATCTGGATCTCTGGTGTCTTAGAATTAATTCTTCATAAATACCAAAGAACTTTCAATTGTGTATTGGTTCAATAAGCAATACATGATCATGTGTCAAAGACTCCTACATAAAATAGATACTGGGGTCTGCCTAAAGATTGTCTTCCAAGTAAGAGTTGGCGCCTCAAACTCCTTCATATCTGGTCTATGCAAACGTATTACAGAACCCCAGCCCTAGGTCTTTAGGGAGTCAGTGTTTCTTTGTGCTCTAAAAACGCTTACTTTTCAGACATTAGAGAGTGGGAGAAATCAGAGGCATCTTAGCCTCTCTCTGCAGAACAACACACTGAGACAGGCACAGAGGAGCAGAAGTAATTTATAAAAGTGTGATATCTGGCATGTTTATTATAATATGATAATTTATAAAAGTGTGATATCTGGCAAGTTTTGATCCTCTGCAAATAGACGGGTTTCTGCACCCTGGTTTCTCTTGACTGCATCAAGAGGACACAGAGAATCAGCAAACCCGGGGCCTTGAGTCCCTAGCTGCATCTCCTGTTGAAGGACATACATGGAGCGGCACAGCCATCTGGCCCGTCACGTCTGTCAGGTGATGCGTTGCTGTCTGATAAAGCTACGCAGCATGACGTGGCCACGCTGTGATAAAATGCGCCGTGCAGAACGTGTAAGTATTCCAGGCGACCTGCTTCCAGCCTCATCTCCTCAGGGCATTATTTTCTGATAATGGGGGCAAACTCAAGAAAAAGAGGAATTGCTGGATGTCTCAGGCCTCAAGCTATGAACAAGCAGTTTTAGACGATTTAAGCAGTAACAACGCATGCTGTTTGTATTCCTGTTCATAGAAGCAGTTTGGGAAACAATTTCTGGTTTTAAACCACCCTTATTCTGCTCAGTCACATGATTATGTTTATTCTACATGGATACCAAGGTGAATATGATAATATCTCTTTCAATTTCCCATCATTAGCTTGATATCCAGCCATTCACACAGTAAGCCAGTAGTCGTCAAAACGTGGCCCAGGAAATCCCCACTGGTGTTGGCTAGGAGCTTGCCAACAGTGAACATCCTGCCCCAGAAACATTGCACCACAAACTTTGTAGACAGAAGCCAACATCTACCAAGCCCCATGGACGCACACTGAAGGGAGAAACACTGCATTGGGGCGAGAATTAGAAGTGTACACATGTTATCTGCTGCTTGGTGCATAGCATATTGGTAGGAGGGCTCAGACTGGAAACATTTATATTTTTGATTTCAATAAATAATATGAGATCATACGATTTAAAACCAAACAATTAAAGTTAACAGTCTATATTTAATAAGGAAATAAAGTTGCAAATAAATTCACAACAGAAAAGGCCCTTGACAACTCTGGGGCTTATCTTGGAATGTAAAGACGCTGGAATGGGGGTAGTAATCCCCCATATCGTTCTACCAAATATCTGTTTAGTGACAGCTGGGAATCTTTCTCTCACTTTTGGGTCCATGTTGGACTGCAAACTTAGCTTGATAATAAAGCATATACAGAGATGTCACTTTAATAACAGGACACAAGTATTTGTGACAAGAATACTAATTTAAAATATAATTATGTTGATGCTAAATTTTTATTAAATTATTCCTGGCATTTTAGGGATGAAAGATAAAATATTCTTCTACACGGTAATGGATTTTTGTTTAGAAGAGAGATGATGATTTCAGTCACCCAATAAATTACTTTTCACCCCCAAGTTTGCCTGATCCCCACTCTGTGACTCAGAAGTCTAAAACCACACCCGTGTCTGCAGTCTGGATTGAAAAACCTAATGGTAAATGCTCACCTTGCTTTCTAGGGTCCATCCCTTCGATTTCCTGGGGTGGTGGGACAGATGGCAGGACAGTCCTTGTAACTAGAAATGAAGCAGCGTTTCTGTGGAAGGTTTCCCAGCAGAAGGATGATGGATGAGGGACAGCCAACAGACCATTCACCTGTAGAGCGGTGAGCACAGCTGTTCAGGGAGACCACCACATCCCTTGGGGGGAAGGGATGAAAACAAGGAGCCCTGGGATAGAGATTCCTTTCTCAGAAAATTGGGAAAAGTTTGATTAGGTTAATACTTAAAATATGTGACAATTTCATTTTAAGAGTAGACTGAATTATCATTGGAAAAATATTAATTTTACTTGAATGTTAAAGGCCAAATGTGAAGCCCTTAGTTGTTTAAATTCTAATAAAAACCATATCAAATAATTCTATACATATAATTTTCAACAAATACTATCCATGGATCATATATATATATATGTATACATACATATACATATGTCTCTTTATAGATTTCAGCCTATACTTCAGTTTAGAAAAGTCAGTGAATTAGCTCCCTGGTTGATAGTTTAATGTTATTATTCAACAAAGAGGCTGCTATGCTTAGGCTAGAGAGATGGCTTGGCATTTCAGAGCATTTGTTGCTCTTACAGAGAATCTGGGTTTGGTTCCAAGCCTCCATATGGTGGTCCATAGCCATCTGGAACTCCAGAGTCAGGAGATTCAGCACCCTCTTCTGACCTCTGTGAGCACCAGGCATGCACATGGTGCACATACATGCATACAGGTGAAATGCTCACACACATCAAATAAAATGAACAAATCTAAAAAGAATTTTAAAAAGGAATGCTATGCTTATAAGAAAAATTTATACAGTTCTAATAAATGATCTATTTGTTAACTTGAGTAGTAGAAGATTTTAAAAAGGTTAAATGACAATTAAATTTAAATAATATTTTCTTCTCCTCCAGTAAATGAATGATGTAAAGTAAAAAAAAATAATTTGACAGATAAATATAATTTTAAATAAAAATTACTTCAGAGACTGATTCCATTTTTTTCTTTAAAAATGGTAGTGAGATGGGGATGCAGTTCAATTGGTAGAGTACTTGTTTAGCATGAAACTGTGGGTTTGATCACAGCCCATAGAAAGTAGGTATAGTGACGCGTGGCCATAGTTGGGAGGTGAGTTCAGTGGGAGTAGAACAGCCTACTCTATATGATACTCTGCCTTAAGTTTTTTAAAAAATTAAATGAAACAAAATAATGGCAATAGTGGCAACCTGAGAGGTGACAAGACCTAGGATGTTTCTGAATATGTCAAGGTGTCTGTTTGGGAAGACACAGCAAGAAATATGCTAAGCACTCTGCTCCCTGTAGCAGCCTCCCACATATGCCCTCTGGAACCCTGGGGGTATGAAAAGGTAGCCTTCCATCCAGTCTGAATGGCTGGAGATGCACAGTCAACAGCCCCTTACCTGTCTCAGTTTCCTTCTCTGTAGCTATGACCCCACAACTGTGGGAGTAGGGAAGGCTGAGGGGTAGCAGATTCCCAGGTATGGCATTCTCACGTTGGGTTGATTTCTCCTTCTGACTGCCCAGCAGCTTCAGGCACAACAGTGGTAGTTGAACTTGCACTGTTTTTTTTTTTAAGAGCTCTAAGAAGTACATTCATTAGTAATAAAGATTCTGAATAATTCAAGGTCGCTCATTCGTCTCTGTTTCAAAGGGTCATTTCCATATTAGTTTCAGGTAACAAGGAGGAAAGGAAAGTATCTCCTAGAGCTGTAGGGAACATAGAACTTCTGAAACAATATCAAGGACTCCAAGTTCCAGTGATGGCAACTTGCAAACCAACCCCAGAAAAAGAATTACACAGGAATGGAATCAAACTCATTTTATTAATTCTTTGGTAAATGCAAAGGTGTGCTTATACATTTTTTAAAAAACCCTAAATATAATCCCAATCATCAGAAGGAGAGTAATAATTTTTGATGAATTCACACTTCCTCCTAAGTTAGAAATATAACTGTGTTTTATTTCTAAAGAATTCCAGACTTAAAACTTAGCTGTTTTAACTTTGTTAGGATCTTTAAAAAGTCTCATTATATAAACCAAATGTATTTAAACTTTACAGTAAAGAATATTCAGGATGTTGAACAGCTAGGGAATCAATTGTCACTTATTAAAAAAAAAATCTGAAGTCGACCAGATGGCTCAGTGGGTAGCCGTACTTTGTACCAAGCTTGAAGATCTCAGTTTAATCCTAGAAACTACATGGAGAGAGGGGAGAACCAATTTCTACAAATTGTCCTTTATCTTCTATATATACACATACACACTCATATAATACACACGCCACACATAGAGACACACACACACACACACGAGGGGGTATGGAGACAGAAAGACACAGAGAAGAATAAATAAAACATATTTTCAAAATTAAATGAACAATCCACTCGAACTCAAAGCACAGGCATGTTAGTGCACGTGCAGGCATGTAGTAGCCGGGGAGGCAGAATAGCTGAGAGTTCATGCTCAACTATGACGGGAGGGCAACGCAATCGCTCTAGAACATCCTAGAATCAAGATCACTTTGAAGTGAATATGAAGCCAAGGAGAAGCAGTTTACTCTTTCCTTCTTTGAAAGGCATTCTATTTTTAAAAAATGGAAAATGAAAAATGATGGGGGCAAGGATGGGATCAAGTGGGGATGGGAAAATGTCATCATTTTTCTGTGTCTACATAAACCACATTGATTTCCTGTGAACAGGTAAGACAAAAATTCAGGAAGAAAGCAAATCTATTTGGCATTAAAGCTCTACCTGGCTGAGTGCAGTGGACTTGGAGTTGAAACCTTATTTAGTTTTGTACATTATATCTGCTTCGGGCCAATATAGTTCCCGGTAATGGCAACGGGAAATGTCTGAAATGTTCAGATCTGGACAGATAGATACCATGGACTGATTCTGTCAATCAAGAATCTGTACCCATAAAAAGAGCTGTATAAAATCCTAAATCAAACATACCAAAATTAGATAATTTTTAGACACTGAAGATGTACTGAAAGTAATTTTGGTGAATTGACCAATTGACTATCAATAGCCTTAAACTTGGCCAAACTTCTGGACTCATTGACATTTGATTAGTGGAAATTTATAGCTTTCTATTGCAAACCCTGGCTTAAGCCCAAAGTCACATTAAGGGCTTCTCTTTCCTTCTAGTCCCTTCTTACCCATCCTCTCTTTCCCCTTCTCTTTTTGTAAGTGTTTTAGGTTGTGAATCAAGTCCAGTTGCCATTTTACATTGTAAGCAACTGGCAAGGTATCTTTGCTAACATGGCAGTTTCTGAAAATGCTGATTGGTAACCAAGTCTGTGTCTGGAACAGCTTCAGGAAGCAAGCAGGTAGGAAGGGTCAGGCTTCCTCTTCTACCACGACCTTCCCTGGGTTGGCTGTAAGGACTCCAGGCCAGCCAGAATCTCATGAGGCGATGGCTCCTCTAGGCACAAAGGACCTTACTCACACTCTGTTTAGTACATAAATATAAAGAACGTGACTGGAGAGAGAGAGAGAGAGAGAGCAAACAGGGGCTTGGTATGTTATATTTGAATCTACATAGGCAGTCCTACATGTAAATCAAGAATACTTTATGAATACATTTGTGTATGTTGAATCCTTTCAGAGAAGAAGTTAAGCTGTTAACACCAATGTAAGAAAATAAAAACCATCACCAAGGATGGTGCATTAAAAGAACTAAAAATATCACGTTCTGAGACCACATGACTGTGTGCTTCAAGGATTTGCTGCTTTCAAAACAAAAGATTCTTATAATATGTGAATATAATTAGAAGACACATCTGATGGGGGAGAGTCTTCTGTTTTGTGTTAATTTCATTGGTTAAATAAAGAGACTGCATTGGCCCTTTAATAAGACATAAAATTAGGTAGGCAGGGTAAACAGAACAGAATGCTGGGAGAAAGAAGCTGAGTCAAGAGAGTCGCCATGATTCTTCCACTCCAGACAGACACAGGTTACGATCTTTTCTGGTATGCCAGCTCGTGGGCTACACAGATTATTAGAAATGGGTTAGATCAATATGTAAGAGCTAGCCAATAAGAGGCTGGAACTAATGGGCCAGGCAGTGTTCAAAAGAATACAGTTTCCATGTAATTATTTTGGGTAAAGCTAGCCGGGTGGCAGGATGCAGCCCGCTGCTCTTACAACACACACCAGCTTATCAAATTCATTTTATGAAACAAGTAAAAATTTTATAATGAAATAAAGGATTTATGATTCTCTCTGTCCCTTTTTTTCTGTCTCTTTCCATTCATTCATTCATACACATGCTCACAAAATGTTTATGGGCCAATATTATTTACAAGCCTTTAAGAGAAAATTCTAAAGAAGCTATAAATCATGTGTTAAAAGACTACTCTACCAAGTAGCTTTAATTCTATGGATACAAACAAGGATGACTGATATTTTGGAACTGATACCATATTAGTAAGTTCAAAAAGAGAAGTCTGGTAATCTTGGCAGATATTATACAGGTATTTAGTATAAATATTATTTTTATAAATTAGTCAGATTTAAATGACACAATTCTATAACTTGATGGACAACACAATTTTCCCTTTCCTTTCCTTTCCTTTCCTTTCCTTTCCTTTCCTTTCCTTTCCTTTCCTTTCCTTTCCTTTCCTTTCCTTTCCTTCCTTCCTCCCTTCCCTTCCCTTCCCTTCCCTTCCCTTCCCTTCCCTTCCCTTCCCTTCCTTCCCTTTCCTTTTTTTTTCTTCTCTTGAGACAGTGTTTCTCTGTGTAACAATCCTGGCTGTCTGATAACTCACTTTGTACACCAGGCTGGCCTCCATCTCACAGAGAACTACCTGCCTCTGCCTTCTGAGTGCTGGAATTAAAGGCGTGTGCCACTACCACCCAGCTCACTCAACACAACGTTTTTAGGCATATAAACATTGAGAAACAGATAAATTGAGCTAATATGTTTCCTCACATAACTATTATTTTGTGGCAA